AAAAAAATAACTGATAAGCAAGTTCTTTATATATTAAATAGAGTATTGATTCTGAGAATAGAATTTAGAATACATCATAGCATATTGTTCTGGAAATATGCAATAACTTGATAGCAGCATACCATAAGCTCTTCAAGAACAATGTAGCCTTATGTAGATCCATTTCCAACAGTGTGATTTATCATCTGAAGATACACAATCTTAAAAGTATATGGATACTCCAAAAAAAAAGTCAAATAACTGGACTCTATAATAGAATAAATGATCAGGGTCCAGCAGGACTTACAACAATTATCAAGTTGAAACAAGCACAGATTAAGCACTGGGAGCCCCACAATCTCCTCTTATGTGAATCCCTAGATTACCTCGATGATAAAAAAAATTTCACATTACAAGTTCTAAAGTTAACTAAAGACTTGGAACTAACTTTCCAGAGCTAGAAGTGGAATGATATTTTCGAGTGGACCAAAGGCAATAATTCAATTCAAGAATATCTAACAGTAGAAGAATATAGAAAAGCAATATCATCTTTGTGAAATAACAGGTTAATATACTGTATATAGACCAACTGTTAAACCAAAACCTCACAAAGTTTAGAAAGTGGCGAATGATTCAACTTATTCAGCATACTAGTAAAGGTCCTATCCCAGGATGGTATAATATCCTACAAAGAACTATAACTAAAGAAAGTATAAAAGCCTTACATTACTTTGGAAAAAGGGATGGAAAAAAAAGTGGTTATCAAAATGCACTAAACCTGAACCTGGCAGAGATAAACGAAAGAAAATCTGGATAGTTACCTAGAATAAGAATTAACAAATAGTATGGGGAAACCTGATTCAGAAGAATAGCCAAGATACTGTGATAATTCATCATTTCAACTATCAAGAAACAGAAGATGACCTAGAAACAGTTCTTACTAAATGCACAAAATGTTCACTAAACAATAGAAATGGAAATAAATATAATATAGAAATAGAATCTAATTTGGTCTATACTATACCATTCTTAAACCATCAAAAAAAATACTAGAAGAACACAATCACTAAAAGTTTATTGCTCCCTATTGGAACTAGATAGTATAATGATTAAGAGTATAGTTCCAGAAACTCAAGATCCAACAAATGACCAAATTAAAAAAATAGAACAAGTATTAATAGAAAATTGGGAACAAGAAATACTCAGAGACAATGTTAAGCAATGAATATATCAAGATCATCTACTTGAAATTCTTCAGTGCAATCAAGGATTACAGGAGAAGTTGACCTTCTACTTCGATGGATCTTTAATCGACCATAGAAATGAGAATGCAAAAATGAATGCAGGATGGATACAAACAGAAGAAGCTGGAAAAGAAAGTAAATTTCAAACAGAAGTTAAAAACTGGTTCTCATACACAAGGGCAGAACTGGTGGCACTGGTTACAATAGCTTTAGTAGCTCTAATAGATAGTACTGTTGAGATTTTCACAGATAGTTAAGTTTGCATCTCTAATAGAAAAAGCTAGAGAAAAAAGATCCAAAGATAACATACAGAAGATGGCTAAAAAAAAAAATTGGTTATTATAAGTGAGAATACTAGATTTTGTAAAGAAAAAACATATCCAACTAACTTTGACCAAGGTTAAAGTCCACTCTAATGATTCATGGAATGAAGAAGCAGACTGACTGGTCAAATAGGCATTAAAGCTACCAACAATAGAATGAAAGAGTCTCAAATCAAGCAAGATACCCATAGAAACTATGTGTCAAGAAGAAGTAATAGACAGTTCAATACAACAGTTCATCAAATAAATTAATAAAAGATCAATGGCTCTATCATGAACATAGCAATACAAAACAGAGACAAAATGGCATCACCAAGTTCACAAGCATCAAACCTACTTATGGGATCTGATATGAGATAGATTAAAAGATGGAAATATATGAAATATCTTCTTCAAAAGCTTACAGAGAAAAAATTTCCTGGTTAAATTGATCAATGATGAACTACCTATCTTAAGCAAGCTAGTAATAAGAAAACCAGACCTATATAAGCAAGCAAGACGTATAGCATGTAATCAACATCAAGAAACAATAGAACACTTATTGAATGCTCTGGTTATAAGATTGAGATCCTAGTAGTATGGCAAAAAGGATCTAAGACTTTTTTTAAAGAATTTAACAAGTTGTATCAAGAATGTAAGAGAGAAGCAGATGAAAAAATAATATAACTAGCAGTTGACAATAGAAGAGAAAAAGATGAATTAGATAATTGGGCCTTCAGACTAATAGAATCAGCCTTGCAAACTAGTTCAAGCACCCTTAACTTTTGTGCAAGATTAGTAAAAAGTAATGCAATCAAAGAAACTGTTAACCTAAACTGTTATAGAAAGAAGCTAGGAACAATGGCAAAAAAATGGATTCTAAAAGTACAAAAGAAGATTTACAACCAGATCCAAAAGCAAGTCTGAAATGTGAGATGTGAAAAGATCATTGAATAGGAACAAGAACTAAGAATTGATAGAAGAGCAAAATATAAGAAGGCACAGAAAGTAAGAAGGCAAGATCCACAAATAATCCTAGTTACAAAAACATAATACAAAGAGAAGAAGTAAAAGAGAGTGAAAACAAAAACCTTATAGAAATTATAAGAAATGAGATTAAATATGGGATGAAGTGATTGGGTTTTAATCCTTGTCAGAACATCATGCAGTGATCTGCAGTAGTGACCTGCAGATGATGATGTTAGAAGTTGGAAGAGTTTCTATCTGAACTACTAACGGAACAATAAATCACTCCCGAAGTTGCACTTAGAGTTTCAGATAAATATAAGACTTTGATGAATGAGTTAGTTAGAGATTTAATTTTAGTGACATATATATAATATTTAGCTTACAATTGTTTAATAAAGCATATATAACTAGCTTGACAGAGAGTTATAATAAAAAAAATAATAATAATTTGTCAATATTTTTAAATTTAATCAAATTTGACAATAATTAAATTGCTAATAATATAATTTTAACTAGTATTATACTTATGTATTTTAATAATATTAGTGATAATTAAAAGAATTGATTAATATCTAATTCCTATTTTACTTTTTTAATTGAGTTAACCTAAAAATCAAGTTTTATAAAATTAATAAAATATAAGTAATAAATTTTTAAGCAATAAAAAATTTGTTATTTATTCAAACTAAGATCTTTCTTCTCATTATTTTGATTAGGCAAAATTTAAAACTAAGATTTTTTTTATATCTTAATTAGGTAATAAAATTAAATAGTCTCTAATTTATATTAAGCTTTAACTTATTAATTATAGTTAAAAATACATATTTTTCAAAAATTATTAAAAGATATCATAATTAATAAGAATTTCTATTACAGATCAAAATCCTTTTACTATTATAAAATTAAAAAATCTGATTTTTTTAAGTAATAGAAGATATTTATCAATAAAAAAATTTTTTAATTAAGTATAGCTATTAAAAAATATTATATTAAAACAATATAATTTAATTTTTATTGAATTATATAAAAACTTGAGATTTATTAAAATTTATCTATCTATTATTGTATATGTGAATACAAAATAATTATTCAAAAAGAGCTGGGATTAAGTGTATTATTGAAAGTAAAGATTCCTATTATGTGATAAGTTTTCTCAAATAATACACAAAAAGAAAATCAAGATCAAGAATAAATAAGTTTTTCAGATGATTAGGGGAAAAAAAGATATTTCAATCAAGTATTTTTTATTAAGAAAAGGTTTTGTAAAATAAGTTTTTGAAAGAAGTTGAAAAATATTATTTTTATTTTTTATTTTTTATTTTCTTATAATGACTTGTGCATTTTTAGATATCCTTTTCCCCTTTATTTCAACCCATCCTTTTATAGTTTCTTGTATTTCAATAGCTTGATAGAATATTTGATAGTAACAACCTGTTGGAAATGATGTAATGAACTAATTACACACCTGTACTTAATCCTAAGAGAAATACATTTAGGGAAGCTATTTGTATTATTAATTGATAAAAACAATAGTAGAAAAAATAAGAAAAACAGTAAATCATGAATAGTATTTTCATTAAATTAAATAAATTATATTTCAAAATTTTTTACAAAAACGTATACATTATCATAGAATGGGAGTTTCAATAACTTCTTTATTAAGTAATTTCTATTATCCAAAAATTCTAATAAAATTATTAAAAAGATATACATATTAGTAGGAATTACGTATATAGTATTTTATAGGATTTGTGAGATGATATATGGGTAAATCGATAGAAAAACATGATCCAATTATTAAGTTTAAACGATGTTCAAAAAGAAAACGCCACATATATCCATTCTAACACAACCAGTCTCTTGAGTGGATTCCCTTCTCCAATCCGCATCTCCTAATTATTAGATTAAAAATACATTAATTGGGGTGATCAATATCCCGCTGCATATCCTGTCTTTCTGAAATCACTTGCGGCTATTTAATGACAGACAAACAAATAAATAATAGGTTATTAATATCAAGTGGCGAATCATATAGTCATAAATGACACCTAAAATCATACCATGAATAGTTCCATTCCTAAATTTTCTAACAGCTTGCACTTGACATGATAAGGATCTATCTTGTATATTATGCAATTGTATCTAAAAGAATTCGAATAGAATTGAATACAAGTATGCCAAGAAGCAGTCAAACAATAATAATACTTACAAGATGACCGATATCCAACAGGGAATTTATCAAATCATACTTAAATCCACTTTCCATTCCCAACTAAATTAACATTCTTTAGTTTCTTGGGAAACATACGAATATAACAAAAGTAATACTCCAACCGATCGACTCACCACATTGGGTAACAATTGCTGATGCACTCTGGGATAGTTTATAGCTTGCAAAATATTCATATCAAAATCGTACACATGTACCAGAACCTTTTAAACAAATAGATGTCAGGTACTCGAATTCTAATTTTCAGTATTATTAACATTGTAAAGCATTCGTTACCTGTAATACAGCGGTGAGAATACGTGTACCGCCGCTACCGCCAAGTGCTAATTCAAATTTTCCATCTCTCTCTACAATTGTGGGTACAGTCGATGATAGTGGTCGCTTCCCAGGTGCTGCAAAAAACCATTAGCGGCAAATAATCAATCAATTATAAAATTTTCCATTGATTCTGCGCAAAAAGGGAGTTATAACATACCAACAAAATTATACGGAGAGGGCCATAATCCAAATGCATTTGGTAAACCGGGTATTGAAAAATCATTCATCTCGTCGTTCAAGATAATACCGGTGATCGGGTCCATCACTTGCGCCCCCCAAATTAGATTGACCTGATTAAAAGCAAGGAGTTCTGATTGTTGAATTTTTTTTTTTTCTTTTTTTTTTTGAAACAGAAAAACTTACTGTTGAAGTAAAAGACACGGACATCTCCGATTTGTCCACTGCCGATATATGCGTGGTACCATGATCCTCGATGGAATCGAAAACCGGGTGGTAGTATTCTGGACCGAATGTATGTTCCTATTTTCGGTACAAAACCAATTAAATTTAAAATTTATAATTTATGCGCACATTTATAAGATATCAATTGAATCATGAGGGTAACTTGAAAGATGGAAATAAAGACTTACGTCGGATATGTTTCTCCTCACAATGGACGCATACTTCCTCGATATGATTTCCTTCACACGTCGATCATGTTCTATTTTGTCGTCAAACTTTGGAAGGAATCGTTTTTTTTTTTTTTTAGAATGTTATTAATAAGAATTGTATATAAAATTTATCCTTAAATTAACAAACACTTACATATTCGGGATCACCTAATTCGGTACGTCGCGCGAATCCAACTTTATTAGGCAGAAAGAGTTGATTAATATAAAAAGGCTTTTGTATATATACGTTATCATTTATCCGTCACGAAGATCCTATAACTCACATTTAATAGTTTCGACAATTCTAGTTGTTCACAACATTAACAATAAATAAATTATGACAGAAAATACAAAAGTAAGAGCAAAACTGATAAAAAGCAATACCTTTGTAAATCCAATCCATTTAATTCGGATTTTGACATTTCATATTCTTGCAATAAGTTTAACATGAACAACAACGCAGGTCCACTTGTCGGCTCTGGTGATGTTATGATCTAATGTGATAATTTCTGTTACACAAAATATATCCTTTCCTACAGAACCCATTTTAAACTTACTTTTCGCCCACGATAGAATCCAACGATGGGTTCCCTTACGATTGGTTTATAATTTGCAAAGTCACGCGCGGTCATTATGCCACCTTGTGAATTTATCTCTCTGATCAAAGATTTGGCAATCGAACCCTGTATAGATAAGGGTAAACTGAATAACTTTTGCTTCGAATTTATTTACGCTCAAATACCCCTGAACTCTACATACCTCATAAAATTCCGTATGATTGTCAGCTATGATTTCCAGTGACCTGGAAAAATTTCGTCGATATACCATCTCACCTTCCTCGAGGATACGTCCCGAGGGAGCGTAAATCGATCGAAAGGCAGGATCAGTTTCCATTAGTGATTTATACATCTGAAATGAGAAAAGGAATTTAAGTTTTTCCATCACAATATAAACCCTAGTAATCACTTTTATCTTCGAATTACCTTTAGCCTTATAGCTAATTCTGGACCCACGGGAAATCCATCACGGCATAACTTGATCGAAGGCTCAAACAATCTTCGCCAGGGCAACTTTCCGTACCTAATTTTCAGCGAACACAAATTTAAGCACAAAGGTATGTTTTCCTGCGATTATTTTGACGATCAAAGAGGATGTTGCATGCCTTTCATGCGCAAGTTTCATTCCTCGAATCTCTCCACTACATGAGGCAGGGTGGTTCGATAATGTGTTATTAATTATCCTTGACCTCGTACGAACGAAAGGAAAAAAAGGCAACTCACGGTACACCCACTGCAAGCCCGCCAATCTCTGACAAAGTTTCATTTTCCCCATACATATATTGACTGGCTCTGATGGGCGCAGATTCTCTGCAATCTATCATCTCAGCAGTGCCATTTGGTAAACGAATCATCATTAGGCCCCCGCTGTGATTAATTGAATAGTATGAGAAAAGCAAAAAAAAAGTAAGAATTTAGGAAATAGAATAATACCATACCCTCCAATTCCAGCCGAGAATGCATTTATAGAACCAATGCATAGCTCAGTTGCTATTGCCGCGTCAACCGCCGAGCCTCCTTCTTTCATTACTAAAAAGTTTAGAGAGAAATGTATTAATAATAGCCTTTTTGCGTCAATTACAATGTTTTCAATTATAAACCTACCATCAACTCCAATATGTGAACAAATATCTAATTCCGAGGCGACAGCACCATGGTTCGCTATTATTAAGCCTTCGTTTTCGTCATTCAAGGACGCTTCTCGTACTGTTCGATTAGAAGAAATCCAGAAGTAAGATTGATTAAAGAGAAATATATGTATATTACGAAAGGAAGTATGAATGATAATTCATGCAATTCCCGATTAATTACCATCAATTAGCGGCAAAGAAGTAACCATAATTTCAAATATTAAAAACATCATCAATAATATTATTAACACTTCTTTTATTGACGGTCGGAAAAATGATCTATAGAAATCTAAGTCATAGTCATTATCATTATAAGTGGGATAGCGAACTCTATGTTCACTGCCATCACGCTGGTCAAGTTCGTAAGCATTTTCAATTGAATGATATTTTAGAGCCATCATTGAGGGTAAAGGGTATGATCTTGACTTAAAAACTTTAGCGTTTCGAGTTACAGTATGTGATGAATAAATTCATCTGTTTCTCGTTTATAGTCAAGTCGCGAAATGTGATTGGATTAACTAAGCTTTGAGTCGTAATGGAATTGGCGATAAATCTTCGGCGATATGAAAATTCAAAGGGATGAATGGTATTTCATTTGATCTTATATATACCAATAGCACAAATAATCGAATTTAAGATTTTAAGAAGATTAAATGCAGGTGAAGGGGCAATTGCTGCGAAGATCGCTTTGTAGAATGTGATAATTGACAACAAATCGCCAAAGATGGTTTGACTAATAACAATCCAGATAAAACGTGTCTCTTGTTTCGTCGATAATTGCCGTAATCAATTGGCAAATGACTATCATATCACGAAACTATCACCGGAACGAAAAAAAAAAATGGTATAAAAAAAACAAGAAGTTTTTATATCGAGCCTGTTTTATCGATCGCGTTGGCTTAAAATGAACGAGATAAGGAAAAAAACTGTCATTTTTATCATCTATCCGGGAATTTCCTTTTTGCCCTGTTCTGATAACGTACGTGGTAAACGTCTTCTGACCTGCACTCAATAACTTTATTTACTTGAAAATCCTGCCGCTTAGTTCAATCGGAGGGGGCCGTTAATAGCTAGCATGACTTGCACGAGACCGTTTTATTTAAAATTCCAAATTGGTTGAATACTTTATCTGGAATTCGTTTGACAACGTGACGTTGCACAAAATAGTCACGATTTACCTATATGGAAAGAACAATAACAAAAAAAGAACTATTTACTCATCGTGATCGCACAAATTACGTACTTCACTTGTAGATTTAAGAATGCGTTTGATCGATTCAGACTGTGATATATTATTAGTAATCGAACCTATTGTATCATTACAATTAAAAACCTATTGTAAGGATCATGTGGAGAATCAGAGGCGGGGAGGGCGTTTCCTGGTTTTTACTCCTGAGATCAGTCCTAGTGTTTCTACCGCTTTCCTCATAGAGACTTCTGCGAATCATGTAGACGATTATTCAAAATACTCGGTCCCATGATACGCATATAATGCAAATTTTAGGATCACCCATATAATACACTGATATCGATAAATTAATAAGGTTTTAATATTTCACATATAAATTTATTTTAGTATTAACGTCATTTTCTATCTATTATACTGTATACTTGTATAATATAATTATAATACTAATTTTTTTAATTATTAAAAAATTTAATAATTTAATTTTTTTTTTTTTTTTTTTAAACCCTTGGTCAGGTCAGTACTGTGTGTTTATTAATAATATGAAAACCGATAGAGATATATAGGGCAATTGTATCATGGATAAACTAAAAGCTCATACTGATACACTCATCAATAGCCATTAATTCTCAAAAGAGCTTCGACCTCTAAGTGCAACCTTGGG